GAGCATGGTGTTGAGGYATTTGATGTTTCAATCCAGCAAAGTTGACTTAGTCAATGATCTTCTTTGACTAATTCTCGTGGGGCTAAGTGACTTAGTCAAAGAAGATCTTTGACAAATTTTTGAATATGAAGATAAAAACACACACTTTAAGTTTACTTTGAAGTTTTAATCAGAAGAAGTTTTAAGTGGTCTAGATTATTAAGTCCGCCAGTTGCGTCAACTTTGTCAAGCAAACCCACAAAAAAATGAAGTGGCGAAAAGCACAGTGGCGGATCAAATCTCCCAGCAGCAACAAACAAGACGTCCAGATAATTCTCTAGATGCTGCCACTGTCCAACAAACACTTTCAAATACAAATTACTATTATGTTAGAATTATATAGATTGACTTTCCACATACATAAAAATTAATAGTGCATAACCATTCCATACATAATTAAACAACACAATACAAATGTATGCATAACCAAAACTCAATGAATACACTGTAAAAAGAAAGGGCATTATTCCAAACTATCTCATGTGTATAGGTTTCATTCTCTATTTTTTTTTTTGACTTGGTTTCATTCTCTATTTAAAATCGACAATTTCTAATGTAGAACAGAAAATCAGTGTAAGGTGGGGTATTTTAAACGAAATCAAAACTGCAAGGCCAAAACACGAAGAAAAAGAAACTTATAGGGACCTTGAGCGAAATAAATGGGAAATTATTATAGAGTTCTAAAATTTCACTTTCCCAAAAAAGTTAGGGTTCTTCATCAACGAAAGGGAGAATTTTTGATTCGTGACGAGCGATGGATGAATTTGAAGGTACGATTCGAATTTCGTTTTGATAGTGTTTACTCTGGCCATATCGATTTTTCTGATTACATATCTCTCAGGCTGGACTTCGTGGCTCGAACCAGCGTGTTTACTGTGGGAACCTGGTTGTTGTGGCTATGTGAGACCTCCATACATGACTCGGGCCGAGGATGATGATAAGTACACACCAGATGAAGAACTTGCCAACATGGCCCAACAAGTCAATAAGAGCGATGTATGTATTCCCTTGTTCATCTTCTTTGTCTTTTTTATCACATGGGTTTGATGTTGGTGTTGTGCATAAAACAGGGGTTTGATATCGATTTCTCGAATTTCCGCTGTGTTTTCAACTACCATCCTGTTATTCTCAATATACAACAATTCATTGACGAGCCAGAAACCGATGAGGATTTACTCAACAGGCTCTCTCAGGGATCCCTTGATGGATACAACAAAGAAAATGTGAGAACTTGTGCTTCCAGTAATATGCCACAATGTTTATTTATCAATGTTTCTTTGTATGAAAACAGAAGACAGAATTTAAGTTTGTCAAGGTTGTTCGAGCCAACTATCACTGGGCTTCTGCGATAATGTTTCTCATAACATTTCAAGTTAAGGATCCTTATGATGACCTGATCAAACTCTTCCAAGCAAGGGTACGCTACGCTGAGGATATCATGCTTGAGTATGTCTTCTGCAGGCCGGAACCCATCAAGGAGGTATATTTTCTAATGAAGATGGATTTAGCTTGTGGGCTTTTGTCATTGTTTGTGTTTACGTAGTTGAAAGTGGCTGTTTCTTGAGATTTTTAGTATTTGGTTTGTTTTGCTAGTGAAATGTGTTGGGACTGCCAAGACTGATGTCAAGAAAGATGCCGAGAAAGATGCCAAGAAGCAAAGGTAACAAAACATCTATGGACAAGGGTCTTTACTTTGTTCATGTTAGATTCTGGTTGATTTACTTCTCTTTGCAGATTGGAGTAGGAGCTTTTATATGCCACAAGGAGTGAGAACCAAAGGATGCTCCGTGTCTGTTTTATCTGTCTAATTATGTCCTAATGTGACTGGAATTGCTTATGGGAGTTCGTGTATTAGCTATGGAATAATAAACTTTATTGTAAGAAGTATGGGAGTTGTTTTGCTACGGATTAAAACTTATTGTACGACCTATTGTGCTGTTTTCTTTTAGCTGTTTCCTTGATTATTTGCTCGTGTTTGTTTTATTATCTATATAATTGTGTCTTGAATTGCTTATGGGAGTTCTAGTGTTGGTAACGAACTTATTGTAAGAATTGCTAGGAGTTGATTTGCTACGGATTCAACCTTATTGTACGACGTATTGTTGCTGTTTTCTTATAGCTGTTTCGTTGATTATCACTTGAAAAATACGTTTTAGAACTGAGACTTTCTTTTGTACGTTTTGACCCACTTGGTCAAAATAGAGTAGATTAAGAAATACACCCAAATGTTTGAAACTGAGAAACATAAGCAAGTAATGATAGTATGATGAACAAAAAGTTTAAATCAAAAGAAACTGGTTCCCACTTAGTTAACCAGGAAGCCATGATGATAGTTTTTGAGCAGAAAGTGTTTTCCAAATACAAGAGTCTCCTTCAAACGTGTCTTCATCTTCGAACGATTCTTTCATGCATGTGCCCTCTGCCCTTCATATTCAGCCAGAAGCTGTATATAAAACAAATGGTTGTCACAATATCAAGACATATATCATAAGTGTATATGTAAACAGATATTTAATAAACGACATACCGTAGAACTTATGATGCATGTGAAGAGAGACGGTTCTCCTTTGCCCCTACTGATTTGCCGAACCCATTCTTGCCCCATTTAAGTCCGGCTGAGTTTTGCACCTTCCAATAGTGAATTCCTTCGGGCATTTTAGTTCCATAACCGTATACGATGAACACATGTTTGTCAATCTTGATACTGTTTTTGCCAGATCCCATGAAGATTCCATCCTATTTGGACAAATAAAACAGAAAAGGAATATAATAATACTGTAATGGAAACACTTAAATATCCAAATGAGAAATACTGTACTAACCCCTTTAAATTTGGAGAATTCAACAAAAGTGTCAATACTAACAGCCACAGGACCCTTTTTGAGCAAACGCATCAATTCATTTTCATCTACTCCATTCGTAATAGTCAAATCACCAACCTTAAACCTTCTCACATGCTGCAAAAGAAAAATAGTTTATAATAGCCCATAAGACAACTGACACTAAGAAAATATAATATGAATTAAGTACATAAGTTAGTTACCTCAGCTTTCTTTTTCTCAGTGCACATAACAGGATTGGGCTTAGAACTATCTGCCTTAAGTTTCAGAGCTAGTTGGGGACAATTGCAATCATCCTCCAAGATTGTTCCATGCTCGATCATAAACGTGCGTAAGTGGCCCTGATTTCGAGTGGACGATTTAATTCCTGGTGGGAGATCCTATTCACCCACGAGACCAAAGTTAGGGTTTAAAAAAAAAAAAATAATAATCGTTGGGAAATTGCTAAATCTATGTACGAAACAATTAATAAACTGGGTTTCATTTTTCTTAACAAAAACAAAGTTTAATGCAATTTCATTATACAAAACAAAGTAATATGGAGATCAGATGCTTAACTGTAGGGAATTTCTCGTCATATATCCCTGGCTGTAGTGTTAAATCCAAAACGAATGATTAATAAATAAATAAAGTAAAGTATTAACAAATCATTTTCTCCAAATAGACATCAGAGTACC